TTTCCCTCGCAGTTTGCTACTGCTAATTAATGACTGAACCTTGTAGTGGAGGTGGCTGTGGTGCAACTGTGCGCACTTGATGTCAAGTTGTTGAACCAGCCATTCCCAACCTCTTTTACCTTGCCCTTTCCTTACAATAGCTTGGCAGATAAACCTTCCGTTCATGTCCAGTTGTAGTACACAGTACCCTGAAAGCCTGTGGCCAAACCTGATATTTTTCCTATTTTTTTTTCCTTCCTGCCTTTTCCAAGTGTTCTTGTCTTTTCCAGTCATTTTATCCCATTTTTATTTTTCTTACAGTTCTAATCTATTTTTATCAATCCCCCCCTTCCAAGGAAAGCCAGACAGGGTGTCTGCCATCGGGCTGTATGAGCTGCATTACCACAGCAGGTCTGAGAGCTGGGGCAGCAAAGGAGAGGTTGCAATTGTGGACAACGGAGCTGCTTCCACAGAAAGCAGCTCACGCAGCTTTGAGAGGGGTCTTGCCTGAGAAAGAAGAGAAAATATGGGAGGAATGAGGGCAACAAGTGGGTACTGCCTGGAAATTACAAAGAAAATAAATCACTGGGGACTTTCAAACAACTGCCCACAACTTTATGCGGATAAAATGCTGCAGCTGTGGTGGTCTTTAAGGTGAAAAACACTTGCCCGGCATTGTATCCTGACTGCAGTACTCTAAATGATGCATGATCTGAAGATTAATTCCCTCTGTTGTTGATTTTTTCCTTAAATTGGAAGTTTAGACTTACAACTCCTTTTCAAAGTAAACTTGCATGTGCAGGGTAGAGAGATACTGTGGAAACAGGGTGTAACAGCTTTCCAAAGAAAAGGTTCCTGCAACTATAATTTTAATGTAACTAGTGTTTGATTGAACAGCTATCCATCCCAGATTCAGTTGAGTCTGTTGAGTCTTTTTACAAGCTCCAGCTCAGACTTGGCTAGTTCCCACTTGGGCAATGTGTGGCTTTTCTGGTTAATAGTTCACTTAATGTCATCATAGTTTTTCCTCCTGGTTGTCTCTGCAGAAACCCATAGGTAATTTTAACAGGCATACTATATAGACAAATTACTGTAGACCTATGAAGAAGAATCTTGCAACAGGTTCTTATCCGCCCTTTTCAACATACCTTAGTGATGCCTTCAAATTTTTAATGTGACTTATTTTGTCATTTGACCCTGCTTTTGATTTTCACTACAATGAGAAACTACCCAGGGGTAAACACGCACACACATAAGGATCCATACAAGAAGAAAAACAGTTTATATTAATGGTACTGTGTTGAGGCCAATGATCCTGATTACCGACTAGCTAACATAAAAATATTTCAGGTTTAAAGTATTTTTTTAATAATAATACCTGTGGCTTCTCAAATGTTTCTTCTGTTAAACTCAAAGCCCCACAGCTCTTCACAGATTTACTTTATGCACTGGCATTAACAAATGTTAATAGAAAAACTGAAACACATACCTCATATCACAGTGGTAAAAATTTATACATCTTATAAAGGAATTTAATTTCCTTATGTAGACCAGAATTTTACACAGTGCTTTTAATCAATAAAATTGGTGCAGTTCTTATTTTAAATGGGCGTCTTTTTTTTTTTAAAGCTGCATTTTACATAGAATCCAAAAAATCAAAAGGGTCTCCAATTAAGAAAACATTTTCTGTTGTGCTGAATTCATGTTACCGTACTGTGAGCTCTGACATTTTGTTTCTGTGGTAACCAAAATCAGCTGATTAGTTGGCATGGCAACAGAAAAGATGTAATCCCAGCAGACACACTCTAATCAATGCCCCCAGCACAGATGGTCTCCGGAGGATCAACAAGAAAGAGGCTGGCAGGCATTCAGTAAGTCACGTGGTTGCTCTAGACTAGGCCAGGAAAAAACTAAAAAAGAACATTTCTCAAACTAACCAATAGTGTTTTAACCCCTTCACTGCACTTATTAATTGTAGGAATTTCAACTGCTCACACCTATGAAAACCAACTTTGGTCCTGTGCCTTATTGCTCAGAGTCTCGCTCTCCTAGCATCAGGCACCTTTTACAAGTCTTTGCCTTTTATTAACTACCATTTCTCAAACCTGAGTCATTGTTCGAAAAGAAACCTAAAGCTTATACAAATCTGGGAAGTGCCTGAGATTGTCAGTAAGGATTAAAGTCGCTGAGTTTCAGGGGCTTCACCTACAAAATCCAGCTGATGGCCCCACTGCTGGGCACAGAAAGAAACCAGCTCAAACACGGGGTGCTCACTCTCTACTGATGAAGGTGAAGCTTGCTTCTCCCAGTCTGTCAGGGAATATAACTCCACTAACTGCAGAAAAACAGTTTGCCTACACATAAAGTTGGATTGTCGGTAAACACAATGAAAACGGATTTAGGAGGACTCCTAAGTCTTTCCTTTACTTGGAGGAACAAAAAAAATTTGCATCTGCCAAGTAAACAAACATAGTAGTCAGGGCTTCAGCCTCTTGTTTTACGTGATTTAATTCAGGCCATTGAACTGTATTAAATTCTTTACAGTATTTATTTGTATGCTGATAAAACAATTTTGAAGTGTGTGACACTTCATAAGGACCTCTTGCCCTCTAAAGACAAGCTGGCCTATTCATATTCTTACTGTTAGGCATGTTCTAGCCATATATGTTTGAAAAAAAATAGAAAATGCCATTTTATATATTCATCCAATACTGCAGTATGCAGTGAGTTACTCTAACTAGGAAAATGTTGAAATGAATAAAATGCAGCTGTGGATTCCTGATTCAGTACGTGATGAGAACTGTTTCAGCCCGTTACATCAGAAGTGAGTGAATTTGTAGCTTACTAGTTGTTTGTAAAACTGAAACAGCTATCAACAAATACTTAGTTTGTATTTTTGCATGAAAAAACCCTTTGTGGTAGTTTCATTAGGTCAAATTAGACATGATCTAAGGAGCTATGCAGTCCATTGGAGTGCTGCTTATTATGGTAGGTCTGCTCTGTTCCCCCACTGATGCTGTGAGAGTTGGAGTTTACCTTTGGGTACAAGATCTGTGCCCTCAGTATCTCTGCTAGAAGTTACCTGTACACAGCTGTGGCAACATTAGGTTCTAACTTATTTCTGAGAGAGTAGTATATTCCTTTCTCCTTTATTCAACCAACTACTGCATTTTATTTCAAAGTTGCTCTTACTAACACAGTCATATTATAAACATACAGCCATTAAAACCCTCTAATTTTTCTCATAGAATCCAAATCCCATCTCCACCTGAACTTTTCTATCAGGATACAGAGGTTTACATGGCAATCTACAACAGAAATGTCAGGGCTGCAGCAGGCTGTGTGCTGCTAGGGCTGCAGTGCAGATGGAGACTCACTGCACACAATAGCGTGGTGCTACAGGATGCAATGGTGGCCCCCTCACACAAGGTGTGCACCCAGCCCGGTCCCTGCTGATGGCCTGTCTCTGACTTGCTGAATACCAGTCTCCTTTCCTAGTAACACCACTGTAATGTGCTGTTATGATAAGTAAAATAAACTAATTGAATAAAGAAAAGTGTGGTTTTGTTTACCGATTCAAAAAAACCTTCCTTTTATTTGCTGTTGCATTAAAGGTAACACAAAGGGAAATGACAGAAATCATTTTAGGGAGCTACGTGAAGAAGCAGCTACTGTACACCCTCACGATGTCCTCTGCACACGGCCACCACACAAAACACCTCATGGCAAGAGGTGCTACCATGGAATACCTTGTCTTGTATCTCTCCCTCCACGTCTATGTAAGTCACAGGGGCTGGAGTGGGAGAGCTAGAAGACCACCAGCACTACATGCACACCTCCCAGCTCACCAGTGCTCCATACACCAGTGGTTTCCTTTTCCTCTGCTTTGAGCCCCACTCCAAGAGCCATGAAGATGTCATTGAAGACACTATGAAGGGATGGGACTCATACATGCTAAAACAGCATAAGGCATGTGGGCCCTGGTCAAGATGCTGTCACCAGCTGGTGACTTTTTTGACTCTAAAACCTCTGCAGTCCTGGAAACCAAGGGCAACATGGATGAGTTATTTCCTTCTGTCCCTTCTCCTTTTGTGCTTTTCTCCATGAAAAGGTTAAAATTCACATATATGAACAGCTACAAGATGGAAAACCTTCATTTCCTGTTAATTTACAAAAAGGTACATTTCCATTTTGAAAATCACTTCACTGATTTTTATAATATAAGAGATTTTTAAATTTGTATTCTCCACCTTTTTGGTACTGTTTTTTTAATAAACATTTGGCACTTAGTTTAATTACAAGATTAGAACTGTACGATTCACGAAGATAATTCACTATCAATTACAAATATTGAATAATCACTAACTGCCTGATCGAGAGCATGTTTAAATCAGTTGACTCCTTCCATTGACTTCACTGCCCTTTGGACTGGCATCCTACTGTACTAAATCACTATTTTCCTAGCGATTTATAGTCCTTAGATTGGGTAAGTATCAAGTGTAACGCATACCATCCAAAATGGTAGGTACCAGCAATGTGACATCTTATTGTTGCTTTAAAATCAAGCCCAGAGAAAAGGAGATGGGCAGGTTGAATTTAATTCACATACAACTGATGGTTCTGGCAAGCTGGCATTACGTGCTTCTCTTGCAGTCTTTTTGGGAGAATTGCAGAGAATGCCCACAGAATTTTCCAGTCACGTAATGAATATAGAAGATAGTAATTAAATGGCTTCAAGGGTTTTCAGTATTAGAAATAATCTCAGTATACCAGAAAAATGCAACAGCCAATATTTTTCAGCCTTACACACACTGAAAAGGAAAAAAAACAACCCCAAAACAACAAAAAACCCAACACAAGTCTTCCCTGTTACCTTGGTAAACATGGGTTTTCCATGCTGAGTGACCATGGTGCATTGATCACAGTCCACTGTGATGGATGAGTTGTGGTATGATTCTTTTGAGTGCTTGAGAATGTAATACAGGTCTGTTACACCTCCTTCAAAGACAGTGCTAAAATAACGAGGAATGAGGGTCCTTCCAATTGCTGTGAGGAAAATACAAAGCAGAATTCAGCAAATGCTCTAGGTTATAAAATCAAATCATTTGCTAACAGAACATGAATAATTTTAAGCGCAATGAAATCAAACTTTCATTTAATGAATATAATACATGTTCTCTGCCTGCTGTAGAAATGAAGTTGTGCCTGCTCCCATTGAAATCAATGAAAATGGCTTTCTCCATTCAGAGGGAGTGGGCTCATCTTAATTAATCATTTTGCATTGATGGTGAGTTAAAGTCACTCTTGAAACCATCTGCAAGGTTTTTTGTCCCAAAGTAATTATTATACAGAAAGCCACTTGGTGTCAATTACGACTGAAAGTTGGATATTACTCATAAATGTATAAATACAAGTTATGAGCATTTACAGAAAAGTACTCATACACCCAAAAAAGCAAAGCACATTTATAAAAAGGGGTCGTGTACACATATATGTTAGTCTGTGTGCAGGCGCATGTATATTTATATACACCCACCCACACATACACACACATATGCACACACACTTGACTGAATAGGAGGGCTACTGCTAAGTAATCAGAGTCCTGGGGATTGAAGAATGACCTGAGAATGCAATACAATACATGTTACACAATATGTGACTAGCCACAGCCTATCTGAGATCTCTTTATAGACCAGAAGTATTTGTGTCATAGGCTAGAAAGTCTGAGCACATGCCTGAACTAGCTTATACGCACTACTTAACCCCCAAAATGTGGACTCAAGGTACCCAATTCTGCGATGCTTACGCAGGCAAAACTCTAACTGAAGCAACACCTCTCACTTCAGTAGCAGTTTCAGATAAGTACTACAAGGTCTAATTCCAAATATGTAATAGTAAGAGTGAGCTTCTGGGTGTATTTCAGATGCACAAACTAGCAGAAGCACTGGCATCAAAGGCAATTATCTTGTATGCAACTGATATTTTCCATTTCCCTTTTTACAGATAAATTTGGATGCAACCTCAAGCCCGGTATGACAGAACACTTCAGTTTATAATAGAGTGATACTTCCATACCAAATGACTCATTGCTTTGCATGTATTAATCAATCCACAGTAATTCTGAGTGGTGGATACATAACAACTGCCTCCATTTTACACAGGGAAAAAAAATCAAGCAATCTAAACTGTGTTTTAGAAGAAAGAGATAGAAAAGTCCCCATCAACAGGCAAGATTAGATTTTATTAGTACCTAATTCTTATTTGTCTGACTATGTGGTGACTCATGCCTCCCTCATTTGCTGTATACTTTTGAGAATAATTTCTAAAAAAATTGTTTTCATAGGAATTTTGCCAGCATACGAACAAAGGCTCCTGACCCTGAAAATGTATTTGCAAGTGGGTGTTGTAAATTAAAAAGTATGGTGTTTTCACAGTAGTTCTGTGAAAACCGTTTCTCCTCTGTGCATTACAATGTGGAATCCTGCATGTCCAGTCATAATGCACGTTACATAATGAAAATATACAAATATAGAAAATTAGGACTTGTTAAAGTTTTTGCTGTAATGTTAGATATTAATGTAATTTAATGTATATAAATACAACACACTCTCTGGAAACGGCTGACAATTCAATGAATACGTTGAACAACTACATTCTACAACTCTAGCTCTTAAAAAACCCTACCCACTCACCATGCATATATTAATTTTCTACAGTCTTTTAATTTAATTTAATTTAGAAAAAACAAAGTCCAGTATATCAGTACAGGACTCAACTCAGGCTTTAACTCAGATTTTTCCGTGTTCGTATGGCATATAGGAAAATGTGAAATTTACCCATCAAGTTAATTTTGTGCTCCCCTAAGGCTAATTAGTGCAAATTAAATTTCCTGCTAATCATCCTAAGCAGCAAATGTGTGATATGAAAATCCAGCATTCCTACTGATTGTGATAAACCTCTATTCACGTGACTTAGGCACTGCATAAATATCTTGAAATTATTTTAACTGCAGTTTATAGACTTTTCCCAAAGTAGCATGGTCATGTGGTGTTGCTTTTTGCCTTGTATTCACAGCTACAACACACTAAAGAAGGCCAGAAATACATTAAATGCCTTATTCTCACTACTTTTCCTAGTAAGCATTATCTCTGTTTGCCACAGGGATATGCTACTGTGAACAACAAAGTGGGGGACCAAAAGGATGAAGAGGAATAGTGCACACATGCCCCATGGAACCTGATGTTCAATGACAGATGCACATGCAAACCCTGTCTGTCTGTAAAATTGAAAATAGCTAATGCGAATGTCCAGCATAAATTATTATAGCTAATATTCACCTCCACACGAAACATTAATGGAAACCTGTATTAGTAAGCAGAACTGTCCTCAGCTCACCATGTTGCCTTGCCACAGAAGACTGAAGCAGGTTCAAGGTTTTGGTGTTCTTGCTGGAGCACTCAGTGGCTTAAAAAGATAATTTCATTTCTAGGATAAATGTGAAACTCTCTACAGCGGTAACAAAGCTTATTTGTGCAGGAGATGGTATTTCCAAGAACAACAAAAGGCTATGGAACAGCTCTTATAGAGTCAGGGGATCGTCACAAACTTTGTGCATTTGTAGTACAAAGGAATTTACCTTGATTTTTTTTCTCCTCCAGAACATACTTGCATATATGAGCACTCAAGAACATTGCACACACCCTCGGCTCTGCTGCATGCCTACACACAATACTTTGCCGGGCACAGGAATATCAATGTGGCAAATGTGACTTTCCCTCCCTTCGTGCAGCAGATGGATGCACTCAGGTGTGGATGTACACCCTCCACCTGTGTCTGCCACTGTGTATCTCAACAGGATTTTAGCAACACCATGTTACCTTCTGCCAGAGTCAGCTGAAGACTACTTCCTTGTGGAGTTCCCTGCAACCAGATCTTCCAGTCCCTGTCTCCTATCCAACTGCTGCTCTTTTTCTATCTGCAATCTCTTTGCTCACCAACCTTCGTGATCTAATCCTCTGTTTTCTCACCTTATGGTTGGTTGTGTTGCATCAGTTATCTTCCAAGTTCAACTTCTGGTATCTCCTTGTCTTCTCTTTCCTACCCTTCCTCACATGCTGCCCCTTTTTCTCTTGCTCAGAGAGCCTCATTAAAGCTTCCCAAATCCACCTGATCTATTTCTTCCTTCTCCTTACTTACTGAGAGTGTCAGTCTCCCTGTTCTCCTCCAAAACACCAGCTTCACACCCACTTTCTCAAGGCCCTTCCTACCCAGCGAGACTGTCCAGCTCCTTGTCCCAGGCTCCCTACCTCAGCAGTCCAAGCCCTCCTTTTGGGTCTTGATGTTGTGGGTTTTTTCCCCCAAGATTCTCTCTCTGCCCTTTTCCCCAGTGTGCCTCCAGACTGTCTCCTCCTGACACTAGATGCTTTCTCCAAATGAACCCCATCTCTCATTCCTTCAGCTTGGAAAACATTCCCTTGCTCCCCGTGTTTTTCTCATTTGCTTCCAACTCTTCGTTACTTAAGCATCCTCTGTCTTCACTCTTCACCTACCAGTTACTATTTCTTTCTCCTCTCCTACATCAATGCCATCCTGCCCTGATTTATTACCTTCTCTTTTTTTTTTTTTTTCCCCCCCTCCTTTTCCATCTTCTTTCCTCCACATTCAGGTCAAGTTCCTTCCTTTGCAGGGGCACCTGTATCACAGGTGCAGCCGTCAGGAGACCAGGGGAAGGAAGGGCTCCTGCTCTTGCATGCAGCACTGGCAGAGCCTTCCCTATGGGCTCTGCAGTAGAAATATCCACAAGTACAAGTAGCCCTGAGCTGCAACAAGTCCAGTTACTCTTTGCAGTTGGTATGTAGATAGCCCTGCTGGTCTTCTACATGGAGCCTTACTATGTTCCTGGGAAAGGGGGTCCTTGGAAATTCTAGCTGTCAAACTCTAGTAAAGCCTGTACTGAGTACTTGCGAATGGGGGCTTCCACAAAGATTTATAAATTTGAAAAATTCAGTCAGATTTCTGCACAGTGGACAAAAGGCAACCCGTGTTCCACAAAGGTGAGCAACCCTACTTGAGAGCATACAGATTCTAGGTAATTTAAAAAACAAAGTAAAAAGACTTTTGTAATATAGACAAAATAATATTTTTCCATTTTGAGGGAAAGAAGAAATCCTTTTTGGCTTAAATAAAAAAGAACTAGCTAAAAGCAAAACCAATTTCAGCTTTATTGGGTCAGGTTTGGCAAAATTATAAATAAGTAGGAAGAAGGCCTTTTAATGAGACCTATTAAACAATATTAATAATAGATGCGGTATCATCTGCCTGTGAAAATGGATGAGAACAGCTATGACTGCAAGATGTTGAGGCTCTGAGCCCAATACTCAGGCTTTGGAAAGCAGACATAGGTTCATACCTGCATCTTTACAAATACTAACAGGCTCTTACAGGCACATAACCCAGGAAAGACATTTCTATAGTGTGAAATGTGACACACTGCATTGTAAGATACTGGATATACTAGAAGGAGAATTCACCTGCGCGTCAGCAATCAGGAATTAATTCCACACCACTGGAATGCTGCTTTAAATTATCATTTTGTCCTGGGTATCACTCATCATCCCTAGCTGAGTATCTGAGGAGGTACTATTTCCCATGAGAAGCAGGCACTGCCCCTCAATGTTTGCTTCATTTGTGCGAGCAAATCCCCAGAGAGCCAAGCAAACTGGCAAATATCAGCTGGATTTAGCAACAGGTAGTAGCTGTTTATATGAAAATGTCTCTAGGAAAGGCATATCTGAAGCGACTCTTGCACAAAATAGAATACTGTCATCTGCTGGAATGACGTACCGTGGTGTAACGGCTTGGCTACACGTGATATTGTGTAACTTTCTGGTGGATCAGAGACCTATCAGAGACAATTCTAGAACTGAAGAAAGACAGGCAGATTTGTGACATTCCCCTGAATATAAGTGGTCCAGAAATTAATTAATCTATCCTGTGAACATAGGCAAGAAGCTTTATAGGTCAGTAACAACTATATTATGTAT